TGAAATACAATAATTAGTAATATTCCTTAAGTTCAAATTTGAACTAAACTTAAATCAGGTTCAAATTTGAATATTTTAATAATAAATTGACAAATTAATTCTAAGTAAAGTTATAGACTATAATTAGAATCATTAATCAATATAAAATAGTTAGTATTTATAATTAATATTCATAAAGTTGTATAAATTTAAAAAATATTTTTAATAATTACAATTTTTAATTTATTTTTATTATATCAATATAAACTTTTATTTTTAATAATAAATATAAATTATAATTATAAATAAAATTGTAGATTATAATTAAGACTACAAATTTATATATAATAATTAACATTGATAATGAATATTTACAAAGTTATATAATAATTATAATAAATATTTATTAATGTAAAAACAAAAATATTTCAGTTTTATCTATGTAAACTTTTAATTTTTAATAAAATATATAAATTATGATTATAAGCAAATTTGTAGAGTATAATATATTCTATAAATAATTGTATAATAGTTTATATTGATGATGAATATTTACAAAGTTATATAATAATTATAATAAATATTTATAAATTCACTTATTTTAAAAAAAATTTTAAATTTAAAAAATAAAAATCTGGATATTCAAACCAAATCAAAAAATATTTTTGCTATTATGAAAATCAAAAAATTTACTTTGTGTAATCTTATAATCAAATTTCTTTATAATTATTATTTTTAGAAATCAAAAAAACAAAATAAAATAATTATAAATAAATATAATTATAAAGAGATTTGATTTTATTATTTATATTTATAGAAAATAATATATATATATATATTATATATAATCACATTCTTGAAATATATAGAAATCAATTTTCTTATAATTTATAATGAGTTAAGAACTGAAAAAATATAATTATATAAAGTTTGTGACTATATAGAAGATGAATATAAAGAGATTAAATTGTATTTAAAGAGATTTTACTATAATATTATTATATTATTTTATAAAATTCTAATTTATTAATATTTAATTATATTATTTGAATAAATATTAAGAAAGATAAAAATAAATTAAAAAATCTGAATTGAATTATTATTTTTCAAGTAGTATTATATATGTTAATAGATCAAACTTTTAAAGAAATAATAAAATAATAAATATTACAAAAGTTTTACAATAAATTCTATAATTTTTTTTCAAATTTGATTTGTATAATAATTTTATATACAGGTATTTATCAGCAATCTATCTGGTAATGTACTTTTGATTAAGTTCAAGTAGAAATTTGATTTTGCTTCCTAAAGCAACTTCTGATTCTTTAATATTTTTGAAAAGTTAAAATTCTAAATTTTTTTTAATGACTTCTTTATTACAATTAAAACCACTTTTGGAAAAGTCAAATTAGATAACTAAAGAAATGTAACTAGAACTAGAGTTAGTTCCTCCGTATTTTTGAGTAACAGAATCTTTTAACAAATTATATTACGTTCGTTTATCGTTATGCTATGATACATTACTTATAGCAATAAGCGAAAGATATAAAAGACTGTCAATTGCTGATTCTCGCCAGAATTAACACAATCCATAAATCCAAACGAACGCAAAAAGTAACAAACCACATATTTGCACTACTTGTATCTTTAACTATGTGAAAAAAATTCCAAAGTCTCAAGCCGACTGATACGAAGAAAGAAGTGAGCGTTCATACAAATCTATCACGCACAATCTGACGGTTTCTCACCCAGCACAGTATGTTGACAAAAATAGATTTGGAAGGTAAAAAATACATATATGATACTAGAGTTCACGCTTCAGAAAAACTCGCCGAAATGCATAAAGCATAAAAAAGCTGAATTAAGAGGCGCGGATACTAATAAATAATTAATATGAAATATATAGATTCGATTATTACAAATAATGAATTCTAAGCTTTGTTCTAATTAATTAATAAATTGAAGCTTAGATACGTAAAAAATAAAAATGATATCGATATTAGCTTTAAAGTAAATCTATTTGATCTTTTCGTTTACAAAATTTATCATAGCAAATAAGCAAGAATTTGCCAATACTTTATCAGCGTCAAAAAAACCTGAGACTCTTAAAAGTTTTACGATTTCTCTTCTTCCCTTATCCGACAACACGACACCTTTCCTTGAAGGTCAGCAGGCGCGAATTCTTTCACAGTGATGTTACTAAGTTGTGCAGTAACTCCTGGAAAACTGGATTTAACCTTCGCGTTTCAAATATTTCGCATAATCTTCCAAATGTCGTCTCTTCTATGCCTGCCGATAAATACTTCCGGGAATGTTCCATCTTCAAATAATCGAATCAATACTTTTTGTGAAAAATTTTCGATTGCCTCGCAAATGACATCTTCAAGGATCAAAGAAAACTCATCGAGAATAGGACAAATTTTATCGAACCCAATTTCAAATTTCCTAATCTGTAATTCATTCAATAGGAGTGCGCAAATTTTTTCAATAACCAATAAGAATGCACAAATTTCTGATCGGCCCGGCAATACAAATCCAACTCAAAGAGATGAAAAGTGATATTACGAGAAACCTGATGCATAAATCTGTTTTGGACTATTAATTAAAATGTCGGAAAGGCAATTTTACATTAATCTTGTTTTCTCACCCAATACCTTACCATGACTCAGATGTAATGAAAATTCAGAATCCAAATTAGGAAATTTGAAATGGGTTCGATAAAATTTGTCCGAGAATAGAAGCAGCGAGCGTATATGCACGATTAACATCAGTGGTTGGTATTTGAAAGTATTCTAGTTCTTCTTGGATTCTCGTAATGATAACTTCTTAACGCGAAATCACTAATTCTCCAAGATAGTGAAAACAGATTCGAAAATATAGTATTTTGATATTGTTAGTGTTAGTTTTTTTATGACAAAAGAGAAAAAACAACAATTGTAGGACCAAGCGGATGTGGGTAAATAAATTCGTGATTATTGTTTCCTCAGTCTGAAGATATATATTGACAAATCATAAATAATTCGTGAGTATTATGCAATGAATTTAGTTTGTTAATTATGTGCAATACGGCCTTTTTATATAACTTTATTTATTTAAATGTCTCATAAACGTAAAATATCTACTTTAAATGAACAAGGTTTATTAGATAATGAACCTACTGAGAATGAGTCCGAGGTATTATAAAAGAAACATTAACAGAAAATACTGCAAGATCAACAAACAAAGATGAAAGTGATGGTTCAGCTTCAATAACTTCACGTGAAACTTCTTGGATCTAGGAATATTTTTCAAGGAATTTAATAATAAAAATAAAGTTACAAACTTCGTTTGCTCAATTTGCAAAGTTTATTAAAAATCTTCAAATACTCCAGGACACTTGTCAAACATTTGCATAAAAATTAATAATTCACCAAATACTACAAATAAACATAAAAGCAAGCCCTATTTAAAAACAGACAAACAATATTAACATCTTATAAATACAATTATAGATTTTATTGTTTGTTGTCAGCTTCTCTTTGCAATTGCAAATAATCCTTATTTTGCTACCATGTTAAATATATTCAATAAACATTATCAAGTATCTTGCTATCAAACTATAAAAAATGAAATAATAAATTTTTATAATAATTTGTATAATAAAATATTAAAAGAGCTTGAAAAAACTAAAAAGTATCAATTATATGTGATATTTGAACTTTAATTATTATATAACCATATTTTGGTATTGTTACCATTTTATTGATGTTAAGTTCTTGACGTATTAATCACGTGTTTTATTAAAATAAGAGCGAAAAAGATTAAGTTCTTAAATGGGAGAGACTAAGATTTATCACTAAAGGTAAGTAACGTGTGTCCTTGTTGTGACGAGCTAGAATGACATCCAATAACTTCACTAAGTTTTGTATATTATTTAGGATTTTCAAAGGTGATAATACAAGTAATAAGTTTTATCAAGTGACTGTCTTTCAAGTCAATAACAATGGTTTATTATAAG